TCCCAAAATGACTTTGACGTAGCCTGAAAACATTACACTTCACGCTTCATTTTAGACTGCTCCTAAATGAACTACCAGTATCTCCTCATCCCTTCCTGAAAACACTTCTCGGGGAGGGGGGAAAGAAAAGAAAAAACCCACCACACTGTTGTTGCATTTTCCTCAAGGATTTCCCAAGTTTGTTTGCCCTGAGATTTCTTGTTTTGTTGAGGTTTTTTTTCCGCTTCTGTGCTCACCAAACAAATAAGCAACTCAAAGCTTATCCAATTTTTTAACTGCAAGCAGGTACTACGAAGATAGTGCTGCACAGCACATTGCAAGGAAGTGCAACATCCACACAGTAGGAATTTACATCTACCTGATAAGATCTGGGACGAAGAGTCTGGGGTTATGTTCCACCATGCAGAAAAGCCAGCAAGGTTCCCCTTAGAACATATGCAGGCAAGTGAAAATGCACTCCAAATAGCTCAGTACCCCAAATAGCTCAGTACCCCTTCATATTCTCTGAAATGCTGCCAGCATCCTGATAAACACATTATACAACCTCTTGGACTATAGAAGAGTTTAGATATCCTGTAAAGTCAAGTCCAAGAGCTGCAATAACTGTTACATCGAAGTTCAGTCAGGAAAGGCTTTTGTATAGTTCAGGCTCGTTTGCTTCTGTGACTACAAACAAGTCCAAAAAGCCTATGAAATTATTTTTCTACGTACCTTCAAATCTCTATAAACCACATTCTTCTCTGAATGCAGGTAATCCAGTGCTGAAACAATCTCAGCTCCATAAAACCGAGCCCGGTCTTCAGAAAAGACACGCTCTCTTGACAGATGGAAAAACAACTACAAGAACAGTAATTTGTTACCTTTAGATTGCATATGTTTCTGAGTTATGTCTCATACTTTGCAGGCCATCCTGCTTGGAATGCAGTATTACCTAAGAGAAAACCCCTTCTCATCCTCACCCAGCTGTGTTCCCAAATGTCTTTAAAAGCATCAGAAATTAAACTATTAGACAATGATATTCACAGATGCACACTGATAACCAGTTTGTGTACTGCACATTCTTGTATGTACAGAAAACTATAAAAAATCATTTTGATCGAACACAATTAAATATTAAAACCACAGCTTAATGCACGATCAGAGACATGTTAATATTCCAACTTTTTCTTCTTGACTGTCTAATAGTAGATTGCTGTTTCTAGTTCTCACTCCAAAGTAAGATGTGCTCACAATATTCATTAAAAAGTGTTAAAAGTTGTCTGAAGAGCAACTAGAAAGCAACCTTGCCTTCTTGAATTACTAAATGTCAGATTACAATATGTTGCTGTCATGTAAAATATGAACCTACGTGCAAAATCTCTACTCTCTAAAAATGGAGTTAAGAAAATTAAGAGTGTTAATATTAGTTAAACCTGCAAACAGCTCTGTTTAACTGGGACAACTTGGATTAATTAGAATTGCAAACATGGACCTTAGCTAAAGAATGTCAAGCAGAATTAGTAGGAGTAGTACAGGAAAATTCTAAAGTATTAAACATTATTATGTTTCCCTTACCTCCCCTCCATTAGCATACTCCATAACAAAACACAAGCGATCATGTGTCTGAAAGGAATACTTTAAAGCCTGAAACAGATTTAAACCAAAACTTAGAAGACAAATCACGCTGACAGTTATAAAAGCATTAACAGATTTTCAGAAACATAGACAGACATGAAATTTTCTGTTTCAGTGGACCTTTTGTCCTTGGATCTTACATAATACTTACACTTCTCTGTTGCAGCTGAGGACTGATCCACCACCAACTTATTTCATTAAATAAATTTAATAAAACATTAAAACAATCCCTTGCAGAAGCTATCTGTAATGCCTAGAACACTGTGAAACAAAGTCCTGACCCATTAAGTGATACAAAACACATCGATACTGGCTGGCCCTGAGTTTTCCTCCCCAGGCCACAAGCTCCCACAGCTTCATCTCACAGGCAAGAGGCCACAACCAAACCTCAGAGCACAAGGTTTTACTGCACTGGCTACAAGCCCTCTTACATGAAACACATGCGTATTTACACACATCAGCCCCCTTCTCTGCCCTGCTGCCTGCAACTGCTCCCTGTTGACAGCCTGCCAGAGGATTGAGCAATGCTGTCAAACATCAATTTGTAAGCAATTCACAAAAACAGACAGGAGGGAGGGCACGATGGAGCGTCACAAGGTGCCTTTGTACAGTCCTGTCACGTGTATTCCTGTGGCAAGAGTAACATCAACTTGTTTGCCACAGTCTTAAGTTTTTTGGTCATAACCCAGTTTCGCAGCTGACTTCTCAACACAGTCCTTGTTTTGGATATTTGGGTTTACAAAAGCATTAAAAAGAAAATACCGCATATGATATCATAGTCTTCATTACTAGGGGTGGCATTTTTAAACCAGTCATATTTTTGCAGAGAAAGGGAGGGTCAAGTTTTAGACGTGTCAACAAACATTTACTGATTATACCCAATACAGCCAATATTTACTTCTAGAGGCCACATTAAAAGGTGTAAATTCCAGCTAAGCCCTTCTGTACCTGGACAAAGGCAACAACCAGGATCATAGACAGGTCTCTCAGAGGGCTTCAGCAGTTGGATACAATTCAGAGCCAACTGTAATAAATACTAGAAACAAGACCTTGAGGTGGAGCTTAGGTATCTGAACTCAACTCAGAGAGACTGCTGGCATTGGAGGTCTAAACTGAGAGTACAGTTTGATTTCAGAGCTAAGTCAATCCAAAAGGAAAGCAGTGGATAAAGCACAGTCCTGCTCTTTACTGCCCCATCCCACATACTCCCACCCCTATCCTTTGGCTGGCATTACCAGTGCTCTGATTCCATAGTGAACTACTTCTGGGAGCTTAAATAAACAACAAAGTAAGGCAAAATTAAAGAGTTTTTCCCCCACTATATCTTCCTGAACTTGTCTGTCACAAGATCAGGGTCACCCTGATCTCTGCTATGAAGAGGAGACCAAGCATTTGGAGGACAAAGAAAGCAGACTCTTGTGTCAGAGATAGCAAGCCATTAAATGGGTGAGCCATAAAGTCGAACCACACCCTGAAACACTGTCTTCAAGAGGTACTAAGGACCTGCTCTGCAAGAATCAGAAGACTTAAAAAAGCATTTTAATTTGTGCTTCCCAAAAATGGAAGGGCACAAAAATACACAGCCGCTCTGAAAACACACATCTCCGATGTATTACATAAATAACAAAAAAATAAGGAAAGTCTTGGCTATCATGATGTCAAGTTACACTCAGCAGAGGGAGAAATGCTTACTGTTAAGAATGGATGCCGTGAGTTCTGTAAAACACGGTTTTCTGTCAGCGTGTGCGCTACTTCATCCTGAAACACAAGCAGAAGGAAATCAGCAAAATGATTCCCCAGATCACGGGTCCATTTCAAACACATTTCAAACACGGAGCAATTATTTACAAGTACTCAGAGAATCCTTGGTATGACTTTCCTGAAGGCTGTATCAAGGGTAAGCCACGTTCCCAAGTTTCCCCGTCTACTCACCTTTGCTACAATAACTTCCTTCTTCAGAATTTTCATAGCATAATAGCGTCCAGTTGCTTTTTCTTTAACTAAAATGACCTTTCCAAAAGTGCCTTTTCCCAGTAGTTTAAGGTATTCAAACTCATTCATGGTCTGTTAATGATACAGATAAACAAGAACTGAATTACGTGAACTAACAAGTACATCATTCTCAGATTAGAATTTCTCATTCACGTGATAATACATTGCATATGTGCTGGTTTTAATCCTTCTACTTAGTAGAATTCACGAGCAGAAATGATTCTTCCATGAAAATGAATACCAGTGCAACCCTGAAGATAAGCAATCAAACTATTTAGGGAAAACCATAAGCTTTCAATTAACAGAACACTTCCACATGACTCAACGCTCAACTGTGCAAATACCACTCACCATATTATTATTAATCCATAGATATTTCGATCACTTTGTCAGTGCAGACATTCACTAAGAGGCACATGTTGCTCTAATTCTAGCGATTAAACCCATACCTTTTCCTTGATGTTCCCACCTCCCTAGGGGACCAGCTTTCTGGTGCTTCATTGAACAGCACCAAAACCCACACACAAAACGGCTGCCACACAGATTAGCCATTCACTCTTATTTGTTTCACCATTACAAAAAATGTTGGGGAAACTCAGAATTCGTTGCAGGCTGAGGACAGTCTCTGTACATATTGACGACTACTGCCAACATGGCAACAGTAAGACTTACACAGCTACTGCAGCCTCGGTGGGGAAAGATTTTAAGATGCTCCCAACAGCAAACTTCCTCCATATTCTTCCCTAGAGCTGTCTGAGACTTTCTGCTAATTGTTCAATATAGTTGATGTCAGGACCCTAATAATAATTTTGGTTATCCTCACTAACATGTCCAAAGAGAGACAGTCACTGTTTCAGAAGAACGTGTATATTTGACCAACGAGGTGGCTCTTGCATTTCTATGAAGAGCTGTATCTCTTCAGTCACGGACACAGATGCCCAATGGCAGCTACAGCCCAGGGTGACATGCCAGTAGTCACCCACATCACTCCGAAATCACTCACGTGACACAAGGCTGCCACACATCCTTAGTGATGACACTGGTGGATGCCTGTCTTTTTCCTTTAAAAACTTCACTGGTTTTCCCAAAACAGAAACAAAATTATGAAAGTAAGCGGAGATCACAATGGTGAGGTAAGGACGCAAAGAAGTGCCTTGGTCCCATGCACAGACAGAGCATTCACATGGGAGAAGGTTCTATCAATTCTTTCTTACAAGAGCAGGTGGGAATGCTTTGGAAAACAGAAACCCAAACAGGAGACCACGAGCGGGTAGAAAGAAGTGAAGGGAGGCTGAAGACCTAAAAGGGCTCCACAGGGCAAAGATCTCCTCTGGCACATACTCCTTTCATGGAAGGCCATAGCTGAGCTGGCCCTGTGCATTCAGGCAATGCTGCGCCTGATGCAAAAGCCCAAGCTCTAGGAACACTATGTATGGACAGACACTACAGCTGCTGTCTGGAAGTCAGCCTAAACCTTTAATCCGGAGCAATTAAATGCACTGGACCCACCCTAAGTCCTGCAAAACCACTGGAATATCTTTGCACCAGCCTGCAAAGAGTTTACACAGTCACACAGTCTAGCAGGAGCTATGATTTCAGCCTCTGTACCACAGGAAAATAGGCAAAACAAATCCAGACCTGAGCTGGCCTTGAAAGCCATCTGAACCCAGAACTCCAGTGGACCCACACAGGCTTTGCCTGGTACCTGCTCAGCTCAGACAATTGTTTCCTCCAGAAGCTGCATTTACAACCAACTGTCTAATTGTTAGAGGAACAGATGTGTCTTGATGGCTATTTTTTCTCTACATTTGAGAAGACCTAAAAGATATTGTTATTCCTGCTATGCTCACTTACCACTTTGTGTTTTGGCTTTGTCATAGAAACTTCCATTTCTTCCGCGCCTGAATTATCACTGGGAGAGCCAGATCTAAAATCCATCATCTCTTCCTCTTGTTTCTTGAGGCTGTCTGCTACTGTTTGGATGGCTTTTGTCCATTCTTCCCTGGCAAAATATAAGCAAAGGCATTTGTTACTTGTGACTTTCGATTACAGTCTGCCATGGCAAGGGTCACCAAGGAATACAGAGCAACTAATCCCCTCTGATGAATCAATGCAACATACAATGAATTACGTTCATTTTCAAGCACTGTAAAAACGCATTTTTAAGAGCACTTTTAACGTTTATCCTTATTAATTGTACTAGAATAATGAGACAACTGAAGTCCTCCCAGGCTGGATACAATATAAGGCTTTTCAGACAACAGAATTTCTAATAGGCATTCAGTCAGCAGCTCAAGATATGACCTGGTGATACAGGGATTTACATAACAAAACCAGACTTGCCAAAACCAAAAAAGCAAAAGGCTCCCATGCAGCACAAAGCAATTAAACACAGCTTCTCCATTCCTATGGTGCACTGAAACACATACACCCAACTGCTGGGGGCACCACGTCACTTCTTTGCACGCATACCCTGAATTTTAATGGCAAGGGGTGTTCTAGGAGAAGGTATTAAAGGATACTTAGGTTATTCCTCTTGTAAAAACGATGACAGAAGTACAGCAATTCCTGTGTATATTTTAGCAGAACACCAGCAAAACCAGTGACATTTTATCTTAGGCACAGGTCTTGGTTACAATAAAGTTTCCTCAGCTGTTTCAGCAATGGGTGCTCTAATATTGACCCCTTTGACTCCCACAGAGACCGCTTCCACTCCAGTGTCCTTTGGGAAATTTCACACCTTTGGAAACTACTGAAGTGAAAGTTCTTGGCCTTCACTTCATTTCACTGCAAATTTATTGAACATAGAGCACAGAACTCGTAAGGGCTTACAGGGTTTTGGGATAGGCTTTAAGGTGTGCAGGGGCTGAAGACACGTTCAGTGGACTACCTGAATTTACCATGTTTTACTGTCTTTTGTATCTGTAGGGAACAGGACATAGTGGTTTAGTTGGTATTTTTCTCCCAAGGACACCCAAGGTAAAAAACTTTGCTACTACAGCAGGAACAGAAGTAGCCAATGCTGAACAGCTCTATGCACAGTCTGCAGTGAAGCCATGCCGACCTAATTGATGTCAAATTTTCCATTGGTTCTATGAAGTTATTTAAAAAAAAAAAAAAAAAATCATATCTGAACACATGCGTTTCAGTTTGTGATGGATGGAAGAAGATCATTCTCCAGAGGAAGGAGAAGTCCATGGGAAAAAGTACCCAATGTAAGATTGTAATAAAAACTGCACCAATTACACATAAAGTCTTTCCCGCCCTGTGCATTTTTTATTTCGGATGTTGTCTGAGCGCGCACTATCCAGCCCTGTCTGGGGCAGCAAGGTATGCTAAACATTCTGAACATTCTCCCTATACTCCCAGCACAGACTACTTCATTCACCATCACACATTCCTTTATTTACTAGTCATTTTTCATATTCAGAACAATTACAAAAAGAACGTTTTCTTCTGTATTTTTATCTCTCCATCTCTCTCAAAAACAAATGTCGGTTTTAAAGGCACAGAGAAAGCTAAAGGCCTATCTACCTTCATACCTCTTCTAAGATTTATTACTGACTTGGTTGAGATCTTGGCCCTCCTGAAGTGAGTATCTTTGATTTCTGGGAGACCAGAATTTCACCCTCAGCTTTTATGTCTCAAGCGTACATAACAGAGGTGACTAACACTCTGAGCTGAAGTGTCACAAAGCTGACTTAATTGGCTAGGAGGTAACAAAACAAGACTGAAACACAATCTTCCCCCAAGTGGAAACTGTTATTCACTCTTTTGGGGTCACTGACCACAAACTACTAAAAGAAACAAGGACCAGTTTCTTTTTCTTTGCTTTTAATTTGATTTCACCTTCTTCTCATCATTATAATAGAATCAAAAGCAACAAACAAGAACCTTCTTTAAATCAGTGCGTGTAATGGCTACGAAACAAAAAAGCAAAGAATATTAGGTAGAATTTGGTGATCTTAAAAATAAACACATGCCAGTATCATACCTAGGGAGGACAAGGGTTTTAAAATACCCTTCCCCTAGGGCAATGGTGCTGGAATAATTTAAGTTCAATTCCTGAAGAGCAAGTAAATATTTAAATACTCTGCAGTTGTAGAATAGTTGTGCTGGAAAACTGTTCTCTCAGGAGGTAAGGGATCAATTCTCCAACGGTGAGAGCACAGGATGTACGCTCTTAGCTTTGCTTCCTAACAGCTGAAACAGAAATCTGCACCTGCAGCAGATAACTATCACTTTTATTATCTAATTTGCACAAAACATTAGCAATCAGCAATGATACAACTAACTTTTTCCCTTTAAAAACAAGGTGTCCAAAAAGACTTTAAAAGGTCAGTATTTTGATACAACTCAACTTTGCCTGAATCTCTGTTTCACTTGTGCTCATCCTTCCAGAAACTCCCAGGTCAGAAACTCTTTATTTCTCATATCACATGTCCAGTGAGAAATGAACCTTAAGTTTCTGGACGTAACTACCCGTGTGCTGGTACACACCTGCACCTGTCCGTTTTGGATACCCAACCTAGCAACACTTCATTTACAAGTACTACTCAAAATCCACTCTCTGAAACCCCCTTTAAGGAACCTGTTATACTGGAACTTGCACTAAAACTGAGGCACTCAAAAATTACTTGTCACTTTTCAGTCTAGACGTACATCATCTGATAAATAAGAGCTTCAGCAAAGGACTTGCTATTAAAGCTGAACACTTGCATCTGCTTTTGCAAGTAGTTTATGTATTAAATATGAATGAAACATACCGCTCCTCTGGAGTCTCCACATGAAATGTTCTTTCAATTACTGTGGTCCACTGGAGGCATCTAATGATAAATGTGTTTGGTTTAGGTCGTTCTGTCTTCATCAGCTGGCACTCTACCACAATCAAGGAAGAAAGAGTCATGGTACATAAGCAGGTTTAAATAATCATTTGTCTTTATTCTTATCTAGCAAACTGTTGCAATTAATCAACCATAGAAATCTCTGTAAGTACTTCTTTAGGAGACTCGAGACAATTTACTGTGTTGATGAAACCAATAAATAGCTTGGGAGATAGTCATCTAAGCAGCACCGAAATCAAATTCTGCTTAGAAAGGCTCCACATTTGGTCTGCCCACAGAGGTAAGTAGAAATCTGATGTGATGACACAGAAGCCGTTCAGACTCAGGTCCTACACTCCAAAGGTCATCCAGAACAGAGCACACGGACAAAGTCAGCTGATAATGCAGCAATTACATCCACCGAATCTAACATCAAGCCCCCACGTTCTCTCCCTTTGACTTTCCCGACATAAAACCCTGTCCTTGGCTTTCAAGGAGCTGCTAGTGAGTGTATCTGGTCATTTTGCAGCAACCTGATGAAGATTAGATTCAGCATTTCCAGTCCTCAAACACTAGAGGGAACATCAAACTGCAGAGGCACCCCCAGAAAAGACCCTGTTCAGAACGCCTTCGGGACAGCTGCTGCAGAGTTGGATGCTGTACGGACACACAGCTAACAGCTTCCATTGTTGCCAGTACTTAAGCACAACCTAAAAAGGCTACAGAAGTACAGCTACATGCAAAACCACCACTTCCTTCATAAAAATGCTCTCTCAAGAGCTGAGCATTAATTTTATTTTTTTTAAATCACACCTATTTTAACTTTCATAGGATGTTATGAGTGTTTATCCTTCAAATTTGGACCTGAAAATGCACATGATTAAGGGTATGTTAGCTATACTAAAAGAGAGGACCTGAAAAGCAAAAGAAAATCAATGAAATAACAACAGAAGCCAAACCACCACATTTTTCAGATTTGTATTAATAGAAAATCTAAAGCTAACTAAACAGCTCCTGTTAAAGGAAGTCAAATTAAGAAACCAAGTGAGCAAGGGGGGAAAAAAACAAAACAACAAAAGAAGAGAGATAATTATTTGGTTTTTTCCTTACATGTAACTGTTTTCGTTGCAGTTAATGAAACCACAAGCTTGCTATTATTTGGTCTTCAGGTTTTAAATCAACTTCCAAGTAAATAAAAAGGCACTAAGAAGACAAGAAGAAATTTTTGCTTACTTCTAGAGCTACGAACATCCTCCACCATCAGCAATGTGGAAGTCGAGGGCAGAATCCAGCCAGAATAACAGTGCACGTTACTAAGGCTACACTGGTATCGTTAGGTTAATTTTATTAGTGTGGAAATTTAAAATGCTCAGTTTTAAATTCAAGCTCTTAATTAGCACCAAAATAAAATATTTACCGCCAGTGTTTTTCAGCACCGTATTTTTGGCAATATATTTCATGCCTCATTTGCTACTGGAATTATAAGCTTTTCAATGAGTAACTTTGCATTTTTCATGACACGAAAATCTAATTTTTCTTTAATAGCACGCTGAGGTTATACTGCATCCTACTAAAGCACTGCAATTAGATAGAGAAAGTTTATTAATGAGTCATGAAAAGGTTTTAGTGTGATAAACGGCACTCCTTCATTCACCGAGATTAAAGAACTTTCACAGAGCGACGCAGGCGCGCTTGCAGAGTGCCGTATTTAGCCTTCCAGCTACCTCCACTCTCTTTCACAGACTGACACTGAAAGCCGAACACAACTGCACGAGCTGGCACAGCC